GCATGCCAGGCAAGTGCGCTACCGCTTAAGCCACATCCCCGGCCCTCTGAGATTCTTCATAGATTTTTTTTCTTTCATTCTTTTTTTCTTTATTTGAGACAGGGCCTTAATATGGAATCCAGGATGGTTTCTAATTCCTCTGCTTAAGTGGACCTCCCATTGCAGCCTCCAGGATAGCTGGGGCTACAGGGATGCACTACGTATATTTTAATGGCTATGAATTGAATCGAAAACCATGCATCTTCTGGCAGATAAGGAAAATCCCAAGCCATTTAACTCTTTTATCAACAGTTTGAATGAAGATTTAGAAGATATTTTATTAAACTTTCAATGGTCAATCTCACATGGATGGTGTGCTAATCTGAAGGAAGTAAGGTTATAACAAATAGAGCTATATATAAAGGCCAGCTTTTTTTCCCCCCTTGTGGAAAACTTTACTAAAATCAGAAATTTTAGATTTCTTAGGCTGAGGAAGCCTTGATGGTTCCTATGAAAAGTCTTAGGGGTTTTAGATGACAAGTTGACACTAGTACTGAATTAGAAATCAGATGTGAACGTAGGAACTATTAATATAAGTAAAGATCCAACTGTGATAAATGCTGGATAAATGTGTATACATGTAGGCACTATGATTTAACATGATTGACAAATTAGAGGCTAGTTTGGGCACTATACCTGGGAGGATGCTATGAGGAGTGAATGATGAAACGTGGCTTGCTTATCTCTGAGAAAAAATACTTTTATTGGACTAAATGTTTCAAATATTTATATATTTAAATGAAATAGATATCCCTTCTTATTCTAGAAGGCAACACAAAGACCACTGAAGAAAAGATAAAATAAGGCCTTTTTTGTCCTAGTTTCAAGGCACATTTTCCAACAACTGAAACTACACAAAATAGGAAACATGCAGTCTTCTTTAAAACTTTCAAGTCATCTATTCTGGTGAGAATTTAGCCAAAGTCTGAAAGACAACCCTGAGGTCAATGGAATCCTCGTTCTCTGAGGTGGGATGTGCTGCCTGGTTTCTTCCTTTCCCTTCTAAAAACGTAGTAATTGTGGCTGTTGCACGTGCGCACACACACACACGCACACACACAAACAAAATGGCATTTCAACCTTACATCTGTCCATATTCTATACATGATGAAATGGAGGGCAGAACGGCTATGCTACGTGGCTTCACTCTCAATAACCATTACTCAGTGGGACAGAAGTCATTTGTCTTCACATCAATGCTTTTCTGCTATCATTATGCTCCCAATAAACCATTCATTTTTTGCAGGGCAGGAGGTACAGGGGAGAAATAATTAGATACCTAATTCTGTTAAATAAATTCAAGCTTTCAGATTCAAACAAATCACTTCCAATTTTAAAATATAGATGTGGAAACTAGCATCATAGTAATTTTTAAGAAACTGGAGAAGGTGGATGGAGCAAAGGAAGAATATTTTATCTATTATCCAAAGAGGGAAATAGTAGATCCTGGAAACCATACACCAGGATCTTAGCAATGTTCTGTTGGGTCTTTTCCAACAGGATATGAGCAACTAATTTTATACTCTTATTCCTGAATTCAATCAAAATACTCTATGTAAAGTCTAGTATTCAACTACTGAGCCATGTCCCCAGCCCTATTTTTGTATTTCATATAGAGACAGGGTTTCACTGAGTTGCTTAGTGCCTCACTGTTGCTAAGACTGGCTTTGAACTGCCTCAGCCATCAGAGCTGCTGGGATTACAGGCATGTACCACCAAGCCTGGCCCCCAATAAACCTTTCTTAATATCTTCCTCATTCCTCATTCTCTCTTTATTCTTTCCCTCCGGACACACACATCTGTACTATGGTAATTCTTCCATTTGAAGATTCCCTTTATTCATACACATGAATAGGTAAAGCATAAACCACAGTATCTTCTTTAAAACCAAAATCCACAGGAATGATTTAACATCCCTAATGATTTTACTTTCAAGACCCAAATAGTCTTACCTGATCTACAAGCAATGTCTACATCCTTTTCAAAGTCTGTCTGTAACAAGAAACAATAAGGAATAGAATCATCATTTGATGAAGACATCAAGTACCTTTTACTAATCAAATTAACTGAAGTTTATGGATCTCTGACTAGGCAGTGCCCATTTATTATTTTGTGCAAAGGCAACTTCTCAAAGAATAATCTGATTGTTTCCAGAATATCTCTTAGAGACCAAACGTTGAGTAAAATCATCAGTGTTAATAAGGCAGCACAATACCTGCTGTCATCTTCAGTCTGAAGCTGACCATTGTATAGAAAAGAATAGAATTTTACAGCAATTTTCTAACCAAAATAAAGTGACCAAAATGTGCATAGTTATGCATATACTTATATAAATGCCTTTGACATTTGTACTTTGTAATTTGAATATGTTGCTTTTAATATAATAGCTCATAATACAGCTTAAAATCTTTTACTAGTGAAGCCAGGCTCCTTGAATGATTCACTTTTGCTAAAATGTGAAAAAAAAAAAAAAACCCTACTAGGTTTAGGAATTAAAATTTAAGATTAAGAATACTCATCTGGTTCAGAACCTGCTAGAGTTTATTTCTACTTCATATTTTCTCCAGATTCTTATTTTAAATAACTTCATTTTTTTTTCTTTTTAAAAACGGTAAAATTAAATTAAGCTTCTCAGGATCAAGGTCTTCCAATCATATGCATTTCCCTAGAAATATTTTAAATTGGAGATTTTGTGTGGTTATCTATTTGTTTTTGGTAAGGTATTGATTATTGTCCTAAGTCTTAGTTACTAACCCATCATTTAGCCTATTTTTATATTATCTAGCCCCAAAATGTTAACAATAAATCAAATATGTGGTTTAAAAGAAGGTTTTTATTTTTTAATATCTGTTTTTCATGAGTTTAAATTTATCTCACTTCTACAACACACCAAAGTTTTTTTGCTCATAGTACCCCTTAATTGCAACAATAGTCAGGACTTGTGTACAATATGGACCTTTCACTGGAAAGGTGCTACTCCTCATTCTCTAGAAGAATGTTTCTTATCTTGGGCTGCATGCTAGAACTTCCAGTGCTTGGGTCTTGCTTCCTACAATTCTGATATCATTGGCCTGGGGTGCGGCTCCTGTAATGTTTTTATTATGCAATTAAGCCTGAGAACCACTGCTTTGAGACTAGGTGAGCAAGTGCATAGTGTTCTGAACTGAAAACAAAACAAAACAAAACCATGATCTTAAGTTTACATCATCATCCCTAATGCTGGGCAAGAATGAAAATACTCTTCGGTGTTGCACAGGACACCCGTGGCAGGCAGCAGCAGATCCTGGATTCCCAGACAATCCAGACAGAATATTTACCTGGTGTCAAATTTAGCCTGTTAATGAACTAAAGCTGAAGTCATTAAAAATGGGATTTTATGTTATTTTATCAATAAGAATTTTTTTTTAATTCTCTTGAGAAATCTTGACTTAATTAGCAATCAACAGGAAAACAAAAGCTCACCATGATTTGAGCATGCCCATTAGGAAAAGAACTTGAAGAATCAGCATTGATTGGATCCTGGCAGTTTCTCAATCGGCATCTAAATGCATCCTGAACCTGCGGGGGAAAGAAACATTAATTTTCCTCTCTCTTAATAATAACCAGACAATGTCTATATTGGCAATCAACCATGAGAAAGTGGCTATCTTTGCTCTTATGATCTAATACCCATTTTGTTTGCTTGATACAAATGCTGGTATACTTCGACTTTACTCCATGCCAAGGAAATTTATCACTTGCCATCATCTACACTGGGAAGTGTTGGGAACTCCTGAGCTATCAAAATGGCCATATCTGGCTCCGTCTTAATAATTCTTGCCAGAAAGCAGATTTATTTCCACTGTTACAAACAATATGTGTGTCTTTCAAAGGGGATTTACTATTTGGCATGGCAAAATCTTTAGAACAGCTTTAAACATTGTGAAAAATGAGATTACTCAATGATCTTTTGACTAGAATTGATTTAGGATTTTTCCTTTTATGTCTCACATAAGGAACCTCTGGGGAGACTATTTCTTATCTCCTTTCAAGTACTATGTGCCCTGATGAAAAAAGAACACAATGAAACAAAAAGGGAAACAAAATTGGATGGCTGTGGGCACAGCCAAACATCCTTAACATCCATTTGTAATGAGATTCTGAATGAAGAACAAGCAGATCACAAGGAAGTTCTAAGAATATTACATTAATTCCTTCATTTGAAAAAATACAATTATATTGTTATGTTGTGTGTATGTACAAGGAAGTAAAAATAAATTTCATTATTACATATGTTTATAATGCGACAGTTATTTTTTAAAATTCAGTAAACATAAATAGCTGAATAGTAAACACAGTGATAGAATAGCAAATGCAAGAGATAATTTTTCGACTGTACAAAGCCTCTGCATCAGCCTCTCCTTTTCTTCCTGTGGTTCATTAGGCCCCTCATAAGCTATTGATAGAAATCTTCACAAATAGACACTCATTCCAAGTGGCCATTTTACTAATGCTTTGTTTTTCTGACTTCATGTTATTGATATTCCCCTTCTCATTGATGTAATCTGTTTTACTGGATTAAAACAAAATTTTAAAAAACATAGGAATGTTGTGTTTCCCCTATTTTACTGGAGCATCCTTGTAGAGACTACCAAGATGACACATGATCATTACTTTTAAAAAGCACTGGTATATAATAGTCTGTCACTGTTTTGATGTGGCATGTGTATAACTTGTGTATTGGCTAGGGGTCGGGGGAATAGCTTATTAGGTTGTCTTCTGCTTCCTCCTTGTCCTCTGACTCATTTCAAAGTCACTAGTAATATCTCTCCCAAATTGCAGGATTTGAAAAGAGACACTGACTGTAGTAACCACACCAGACTGTGCCAACCAGTGCAATGAAGCTTTCATCCACTTGTACTCCCCCACCCCGATTTCTAATGCCATAATAGCTGTAAAAGAAGGGGCTCAGGGATGAATTCAGTGCTCTCGGACCACTCTCCAATCTACGATTCTAACATTTCTAGATTTGGAATTTCCTCCAAAATGAATGAGGAGTTGCCTGATAAAACTCAACAAGATAATTTCTTCTTTCTTTTTTCAAACATGTTGGTAAAAATTGTAGATGTAGTGAAATCTAGTCTGATCACTTTTTCTTGACTATCTGGATAAATATTTAGGACTAAATCATCCAGCTTCTCCTAATAAAAGACACAAGGTCAGGACAAAGTTAGGTTCTTTCAGTGCAAATGCTTTCAGGCTTCTCCTTTCTAAATTAAGATGTTATGGCTGTAGGTTATAAAGTAACACGTGAAAAATAGAAAATCAGTCTTGTATTTGCCAGATCGTCACTTTTTCTGTTATGCAGAGATTTGAATTGGGGAAAGCATATTTGTTTGTTTTTAGAGAAAAAAATCTTAAGAATCAATGTCAGAAAGATAGGTATATGTTAATTTTCTGTTTGTGCCCCAAGTAAATTGTTAAAGAAGCACAATTTATAAAAGAAGATAAATAATATGTTAGAAGAGTCTCCCGAGTATTTAGCACACGAAGATTTCCTTCAAATCTATTTCTTAGTGTTAGCATATATAAAATATGACACATTGTAGTAATGTCAAATGTTAACTTGACTGGTCTTAACTAACCATTCTCCATTTTTGGACCTTCACAGCATATTTGTCCGAAAGTACTTTCGGCTGACAATGAAATATGTAAAATCAACTTCTATAGAAGTTTCTCTTCAAAATTTCTATCTACTTGCTTGAAGGAAATGTAGACAAAAAAAAAAAATCTCTTTTTCAGGACTCACACACACACACACACAATCAATACTTTCAAATTCCAAACTCCAAAATCTGACAATGGATTAAAGGCATTTCTACACTGGAGAATGATGTCAGCTTTAGGAACTAGTCAATGCTGTCCAGAGAAACACAAAACAGAAAAGCACAAATGTTCTCTAGTAAATTCAAGGTCATTTTAAGGACCTTACAAATGCCATAATTTAAGGGTTAAGTTGTATGATGCTTTTAGTGCTGTTGATATCTTAAATCTAGAAAGATTTGAAGAAATTGATAGAAATCTTCACAAATAGGCACTCATTTGATTCCAAATCCTCTGTTTCATTTTTTAAAATCTTACAAATGCATTGGGATAATCTACATGGATTGATCTTAAAAATCTGTTCAGCACTGTCAGGAAAATGATTAGACTAGATTTCATAGTGCATATTTCCTTATCACAGCAAAATGTACTTCAAGCAAGACAGAACCTGGAAAAAGCATCCACAGTTATTTGGAAACATTTTGATGATTACTCGAATTATCTATCAGGTAAACAAAGAGTTTTATCTTTGGTGAATCAGGATGAATTATGCTGATGGAGAACAGAATTTTTCTTAAAGAGAGAAAGAGAGAGAGAATTTTTTAATATTTATTTTTTTAGTTTTCGGTGGACACATATCTTTATTTTATTTTTATGTGGTGCTGAGGATCGAACCCAGCACCCTGCGAAGTCAGGTGAGCACACTACCGCTTGAGCCACATCCCCAGCCAGAGAACAGAATTTTTAACAAAGCAAGTCCACAAGAATCTTGAAGATTTCAGGCAAATAGAAGCATAAGAAAATTAAAAATAAATCAAACAAGGTGGAATCTAGATCAGGCTGTGCCATACTGAAATTAAAAACTTCTGTGCCAGTAGTCATGTTCATAACAGTGGATAGTAATAGTTTTTGATTTACTATTTATGGAGAAGGAGTCATTTATTTTAGGTAACAATTTAATTAAAAGTGTGTTATTAGAGAATGTCATTGTAACTCTGAATTCTTGTGCAATGAACACTTTTAAAAGCTTACTTGAGACCAGTAAATACAACTTTTAAATAAGCCTGTTTGAAACAATTAAATATTTAACATAAATTATGGCAGAGTTAATATTTAGATTTTAAGATTTCTTCTTATAATATTCTGCAATAGGTCTTTGACCTTAATTGGTGATCAGGCAGAGGGTTAAATATCTAGGAGTATAGTAAGAAACAGATATCTAACTACCTTTGAAAATATAGGACACTTTTAAGGAAATCTGATGGCATGCTGTGAAATGAAGAAAAGAATGGCAAGAGACATCTTCAAAAATCAGATGAGGTGAAAACAATAAGTTATCAAGGTCGTCTGTTGAACACATCCAACTGTTTCCCACCAAAGTTGTTCTGACTGGCTCCAGCTGGGGGGTCTGCTCTAAAAAAAAAACGATGAAAGCTGTAAACCTTTCTTGTTGGGGATGGATTCCTGGATGAGACACCAGTTCAAAGGGGTTTGCAGGGGTGTCGCCCCGTCTCTCTCCCTGTGGGAGAGAGATTCAGTTTTTCTCAGCAGAAGCAAGCTGGGAGCTTCTCAATTGGTGCTCACTCCGAAAGGCAGCTGGCAGAGTGTCACTGTGAAAGTCGGTGCCAGATTTAGAGATTGCTGGGGAAGAGCACCAAACACTGTTTGGCAGCGTTGCAATTTAGAGAAACCTCGCAGGAAAGAATGCACAGCTTGAAATGGGCTCTGTATTTAGCTACCGAGCTGCTCAGACTCAAAAGCTTCACCTTTTTAAAAGGCAGTTTTACCTCAAGCTACTCTTCTTGACGTTTTATTCCAGAAAATCATTTAAACTGGTTTTATTCTTATAATTATTTGATATTGTTTTTTTAAGATTGTTTCCCTGGGGGTGAGGAACATTTTTAATGTAGTATATTTTTTCTGAATCTCATGTCTACTATTGTTTCTAATGTTCATACTTAAATAATGGCTCAATTCTTTCTAATTGTATTGCTTTTCACATAATTCAGTCATTACATGAATAAATTGTCCTCCATTTCATATGCATGATGTCAATCAACATAAGCAGCATGAATGACTTTGCATCATTAAAATATTACTGGACTTTTCTCATAACAAAAGAGAAAAAAAGAAAAAGATGCCATTTGCTGTATAATAAAGGATAAATATGAACTGCAGTCTCAAGTTTCAGTCCTAATGATTATTTATTGGAATCCTAAAATCCTTTAGTGATATATCACTTAGCATTTAAACTTGTTGCACCTTTTTAGTTTCAAAGTACTTTTTGTTATCAGTTTATTAGGTTGAAAACTTTGAATATTTCAAACAGATGATCTGGGAAAATTACAGTAGCCTTTCCTTGGCCTGCAAACATAAAAGGAAGAAAAGGGAAAAGAGACTCTAGACTCCAGGACCTTGTGCCTTCACAGGTTGCACTTCCTTTGAGCCTTGTGCCACCCTCTTTGAGGCAGGTGTTATCCCAGTGTATAGCCAAGGGCCCTCAAACTTAGGAAGCTTAACTAACGTGCTCAAGATCATAACAATAAGTGGCAGAGATGATAATGAAACCAGGTCACTTGACTTGAAAGTTGGACTTCATTCCAAGGCACCACTTTGCCTCCACTGTTATGACTCATTGAACAAAGAACAGGATAGATTAAAAGAAAGAAAGAACCAGAACAATTGTTTCCAAATGAACAGAAATTAAGCTGCTGTTCTGTAATCTTCTACCTTTTAGGAGTTAGATAAAACATTAA